CAGTGAACTTTTGAAAATAAAAAACAGCCGTGAGCAGAGAAAGCAGACGAGGCCTCACCATCCTCAGGTAGCCGGCCAGCTGCTGGGAGTTCCACCCCATCACCTCCAACCTGGTCGGCACTTGGTCTGAACTCATCTTGCTTCACTACCGAGAGCCGACCAACATCTGAAAGACCGACGACCAGCTGGAGGCGGTTTTTAACCCTCAGTGGCTTGTCGCCGCCCGACTCTCTCCGACGGGCCTTGTTGCTTCACCTCTCCTTCCTGTGAAATGTAAAACCAAACTCATGCACAAAAAACAAAGTAACTGCCGACCGTCTTCAGTTTTTGCTTCCTCAAACCGACTCACCGCTCCTCAACTCAGTGCTCCTCCAAGACAAGAAGAACCCAGACGGAAGAGAGCGACGTCCAGGCCGATATGTCACCCAGGACCCAAAATGGCTTCCTTCTTTCTTCCACTCGCTCAGTGTCTCTCTATTTCTTTGCCTCTCAAAGGAAGTGACAGTGCAGACTCGGGGAATGATGAAGGCAGCATCATCCTCCTCCCCCCCGTCTGACCACAGAGCGGAACAGCGGCTGCAGCTGCACCCACTCACTGCAACGCTGACGAGAAGCAAGACGATGGCAGGAAGCTGCAGACTGTGGATCAGCAACAGTGCTCGGTTCAACGCCGCTGCAGCCTTTAGAGCTGAACTCAGGTCAGCTCGGCGGAAACGCCTCCGTCAGGGGCTTCACCGGCTGGATTCTAATGTCAAACTAGTGGAAAATAACATTTGCTTGGCACTGAAGTCCACTTCCGAGGCCTTTTATACCTCACTTGATGCAGTTAAACCCAAAAAAGTTGCGGCGGTGGATCAGTGGTCGACGCTCTCATCAGAAGGTTGGAGGTTGAAACTCCAGTGCTGCCAAGCTGCCGTTGTTCATCCTTAAGGAGAAGATTGAAGACATTTTATTTTGAGGGCACCTTAACTAAGACTTTAAGGAACATTTTAACTTAAGGTGTTTTATGTAAGAGATTATGTTTTACAGACACCTTAAGTCAGACTTTAAGGAAAATCATAATGTCCAGTGTTCAGTGCCAAAGACTATATTTTAGGGAATCCTTAAGAAGACGAGTTAAGGTGTTTTGTGCAAGCAATTTTATTTTGGCGATGCCTTAGCTGTGATTTCAAAGAAAGTTTTAACTTATGATGTTTTGTACAAGAGATTCAATTTTACAGACACCTTAACTACAACTTTTTATTTTAAGACTTCAGGGGTTTTGGCAAATAATTTTATTTCGACAGCACCTTACTGTGACTTTAAGGAAAATCTTACCCTAAGGTGTTCTGTGCAACGCTGCCTGCTCCAGAGGCACCGTGTCCCTGTGCTCTGACCCCAACTGGGACATCCATCCATTATCTATACACCGCTTAATCCTCATTAGGGTCGCGGGGGGGCTGGAGTCTATCCCAGCCGACTTAGGGCGAAGGCAGGGGACACCCTGGACAGGTAACCAGTCTATCACAGGGCTACACTTAGAGACAGACAACCAAGCACACTCACATTCACACCTACGGACAATTTAGAATCACCAATTAACCTCAACATGTTTCTGGACTGTGGGAGGAAGCCGGAGAACCCGGAGAGAACCCACGCTGCATGGGGAGAACATGGAGACTCCACGCAGAAAGATTCCGGTGCCCCCACCGGGACGCGAACCGGCGACCTTCTTGCTGCGAGGCAACAGTGCTACCAACTGGGATTTGTGAAAGCAAATTCCACAGTGTTGTAATGTGTTTGTGACAAATAAAGGCTTCTTCTTCTAAATCATTCACACCTCAAGGCACCAAAAACAGATTGCTGTCTGCACGTCTGCATCGACCAGTTTATAAATGTCCACAGCTGCTTTTTTTAAATCTCTTTTTCAACTATCCTCGTGTCTCTGCAATAGTTTACCTGCTGTGTGCTCTGGATTATAACCAATCCAGCTCTTTTTACCAGTTGAAACAGCTTGAAATGATGGAGGAAAAGACTGTTATGTGCACGTGATTGTATTTTAGGGAATCTTTAAGTCTGACATTAAGGGAAATCTTAACTTAAGGTGTTTTGTGCAAACAATTCTGTTTTCAGGAAACCTTAAAGCAGACTGCAAGGACAATTTCACCTAAGGATGTTATTTTAAGGAATCTTAACTCTCACTTGAGGAATTTTTTACCCTAAGGTGCTTTGTGCTACTTGTTTAATTCAAGAAAACGCTAATTCAGACGAGGGCAGTTTGCACAAGCGACTGTATTTTCAGAAAACCTTAACTCAGACTTAAAATGCTAAACTAGTGTGTTTAATTCAAGGAAACCAAAAGTTAGATTTTAATTTCAGGTGTCAGCTGAGCAGAAACACCTCCATCAGGGGGTCCACAAACATGTCTGTATGTCAGACTGTTGTAAAATAACATTTGCTGGCCCTGAAGTCCAGATCTGAGTTTCTTCTTACTGATAGACAGTTAAGGCCAGAATTTTTAAGATTTGTTGCGCAAAAAATGATCGCCTGCCAAAAACTGACTGTTGTCTGTTGTGCCTGTTTTAAATAAAATTAGAGTTGAAGGATTAAAAATAAGAGTATTCGCTATGCAGATGTGATATTATTCAGTTTACAGAATTAGTCTGAGGTGGACATCTGCAGAGACGGAGGAACAAAGGAGTGAATTTCCTGAACAGGTTCGTGGGTTTGCCACTTGCTTCGGCAGGAAAAACCCTCATCTGCTTCCTGCTCCGTCAGACGGGTTGAAGTCACATGACCCGCCGCTTGTCAAACCGGATTCATCGATCGGCTCGGAGGACGAGGCAGAACCGGCTCACAGGCCCAACCTCCAGATGACTCAGAGACATGCAGTCTGGTGGCAGAGGTGCATTCTGGGATGGAACGAACTAAAATAAATGTCCACATGCAGAAGCAGCGGTCGCAGCTGACGGTAACAGCTCTGCTATAGCGTGGAAGTGCAAATCAGAAAAGACAAAGCACCTAAAATAACCACACTACCGTCTCCACTGGTGAAATTCAACTCATTACATTCACTCCAGCCCTGTTCTTAAGTACAGTCTTTATGCATTTGTATAAAACATATGCTCAAAATGACTCTAAACTTGTTTTAAGTTACTCCAACATATCCAAGACGACACACACTTGTCCAAAACTTTAAAAACTTGACTGACACTTGCCCAAAATGACTCAAAACCTTTTCTAAATGACTTCAAATCTGCCCAAAACTACCCTAACCTTTTCTAAACTACTCATAATTGTCATAGACGACCCAAAACTTTGTCAACGTGACTCAAAATCTGTCCAAAACAGCCCCAACTTGTCCAAAATGACGTAAAATCTGTCCGAAATTACTTGCAAGCTGTCTACAATGACTCAAAACCTTTCCAAACTGACCAGAACTCTTCCAAAATGATTTAAAATCTTTCCAAACCAACCCAAACATGACCGAAGTGCCTAAAAATTGTCTCAAGATGTCTCAAAACATATTTAAGATCACTCACATTTGTCTAAAATGACTTGAAACCCGTTACAAACAAGTCAAAATTCGCCCACAATACTCAAAATGTGTTCAAAACGTCTCAAAAGAAACACAAAACAGTGACTTCAAACTTGTCCAAAATTACCTTAAAAGGCAGGTTTGGAGTGGTTTTGAAGAGGTCTGACACATTATGGACACGTTTCAAGTTAATAGGACAGGTGTCAAGTCATTTAGGACGGATTTCTAGTCATTCTGGGCAGGTTTTGAGTCATTTTAAACAAATTTAAGCTATTTAGGAGATTTAAGTTGGACACTTTGGGAAAAAAACGGGATGTTTGGACAAGTTTCTAGACATTTTGTACATGTTTCAAATCATTTGGGACAAGTTTTGAGTCATTCCGCACAAATTTCAAGTCATTGTTGACAGGTTTTCAGGTTCTACACACGTTCCAAGTCATTCTGGCAAAATATGGTCACTTTTGACTAATTTAGTCATTTGGGACAGGTTCCTAGTCACTTCAGGTGGGTTTGGAGACATTCTAGGCACGTTTTGAGACATGTACATGTTTCAAGTCATTTTGACAAGTTTTTCGAGTCATACCAAGCAAGTTGACATTTTGGAGAAATGTCAAGTTTCGAGTCATTCTGGACAAATTTCAAGTCATCTTACACAGGTGGTTGTTGTTCTAGACAGGTGCCAAATCATCCTGGGTCATTTCAGGCATGTTTTCAGTCGTTTAGGACAGGTTTCTAGTCACTATGGGCGGGTTTTGAGCCATTTTGGCCAAATTTAGTCATTTTAAACAAGTTTAAGACATTTTGGACAAGTTTGACACCTTTTTGTGTAAAAAATGTCCTGTTTGGACAAGTTTCTAGACATTTGGGACACGTTTCAAGTCATTTTTGAGTTGTTCTAGATAGTTTCCAAGTCATTCGGGCAAAATATGGTCATTTTTGACAAATTTCAAGTCACTGAGGACAGGTTCCCAGTCATTTCGGGTGGGTTTGGAGACATTTTTGTACGTGTCAAGTTTCGCGTCATTCTGGACAAATTTCAAATCATTTTCCACAGGTGGCTGTGGTTGTTCTAGACAGGTTCCAAGTCATTCTGGGTCATTTTAGGCACATTTTCAATCATTTAGGATGGGCTTCTAGTCACTATGGGCAAGTTTTGAGGCATTTTGGCCAAATTTAGAGTCATTTTAAACAAGTTTAAGACATTTTGGACAAATTTCAAGTAATGCTGAACAGCTCTGAGACACTTTGGAGGTGCAGGACTTTGTATTGCAGACAAAAATGAGGCCACAGCGAGGAAAAAAATGAGAAAAAACAATCAGGATGAGCTCAAGCTGAGAGGTTTTAAGCACACATTTGGCTTGAAACCTGCAGCAAATAAACTGCTGCACCTCGTTCTGGTCATTAATCAGCGAAGAGCTGGGAGGAAACCAAGCAAACTTCCTCTTGTTCTTCCTGTTGAAGAAACTCGGTTCCAGCTGCTGCACCAGAAAAACCTCAAGATTCTCAACGTCCGTCTCAAAGTCAAATTTTAGTTGTGTCAACATAAAACGGATCAGAAACACCCAACAAGACAAGTTTCAGTTTTTAGCTTGATTCTCTGATGCATGAATCCTTTACACACCAAATGAATAATCAGTTAATCAAGACAACACTGCATTTACTGTTGATTTCAATGTGACACATACATGACCAAAAGTATGAGCACAAGCCTTAAGGACCCTCTGTTGGTCCAGTATTTGTCATTTAAGATACAATATGAGTCAATTTGGACAGGTTTTTGTCATCTAGGACAAGTTTTGTGCCATTGTGGACAAATGTCAAGTCATTTTGAGTCATTATGGACAGATCTCAAGATATTAAGGACACATTCTAGACGGGTGTGTGTCATTTTTAACAATTTTCAAGCCATTTTAGATAAATTTCAAATAATTTTGGACAAGTTTTCAGTAGTTTTGGACAGTTTTTTGCCATTTAGGACAAATATGACACTTTTCTGACAAGTTTTGGGCCATCTTGGACAAGTCTTTAAACAGTCTAGACAAGTTTCAAGTCACTGGACAGGTTTTGAGTAATTTTGGATACACTTTGGTCATTTAGGACAAGTTTTGTGCCATTGTGGACAAATTTTAAGTCATTTTAGACAGGTTTCCAAGTCACTTTAGATTTAAAAAGGAATTAAAAAGGTTATTCTGGACAAGTTTAGAGAAATTTTGAGCAAGTTTTAGGTCATTTTGGATTTGGGCTGAAGCATGGAGACTTTCCTGGACCCACAGAGACACAAAAGGCACAACAATGTGTTGACACAAACTAAAATGATTCTTTAAATGAACCGAAGGCATCACAACCACACAGCAGGTTTTCTGTGGTGCGTTCACGGACACAACACACACGGCAGAAGACAAATCGCATAACAAAACTTAGAAAAAAACAGTTTATTAAAATTTCCCAACATGCCGTGTCCCGATACAGACGAGCTCTGACGTGACAAAGATAAAACCTCTGTGGCTGTTTGAGCTTTTAAGACATGAAAAAAATTATTTCAACAAGCTGAAATTCAGTTTACGTTTAAAATGTGAAGCACTTTTCATGTTTCAGACTCAGTTCTGAAACTTAATATTTATATTCCGTATGTTGGTATGAAGGAGAAAAAGCTCAAACCGCCGCCTCTGAATGTTTCTGTGGCTTCAAACAAAACAACAAACATGATATTTCCTGATTTTTTTTTTTCTGTGTGAACTTAAATATGTCCCACTCAGATACAAATCTTAAAGAAAACCGCTACAGTTTTGTCTTTTGGTCTCAGGAAAACAGCTGCTTCGTGTCCAACCTGCTGCGTTTACAGGTTTTCTAACCCACAACAATATTTACTTCACCGTCATTTAGTGTGTGAGACCGGAAGCTGACTGAGTGACGGATCAAACTACTAAAATGAGAGCCTGGCGGTAAATAAAGTAAAAGTCTGAACCAGGGCGATGACAGACGGCAGGACTGTGGAAATGACCGCAGGCTGCAGCAGGACTCCTGCCTTTACGGTCTCCTCCTGGTCTGAAGCTCCACCGGACGGAGGTGGCAGGTGGAGCAGGAACCTTTCCCGGTGCGACGTCGCCGTCCTCGCAGGTCATCAGTGGCTCTTCTTGGAAGAGCCGAAGCCGGAGAAACCCATCACCGCCGCCATCTCATCGTCCTCCTCAAAGTCCACGTCCTCCTCCGCCCGCCGCTTTCTCTCCTTCTGCTTCTCCTTCTTGTAGGCCTTCGCCTTCTCCTCCTGATGAAACAACAACAACACCGTCACCTGAGGGCTGAACTACGAACCAAGTTTGACACAGCCGAGCTTTCTTTGTGCAAGTCGGCGTGACAAAAACTAATTTCCCGGTCAAAGATAACTTTTATTTTTCTGCTGAATTCTCTACATTTTGTTTTACTTTACATACTGAGCACCTTTGATACAAATACTTCTAAAGGCTCAAACTTCTGCATTTTAATGCTTAGTTCAAGTTAGCGATGTTAAGCGACGGCAGTACGACCAGCAGGGGGCGTCGCCTCCCTCCTCACCTCCTCACGCAGCTCCTTCATGCGCTCCTCGAAGTCGTACTCCTTCTGCTTCTCCTCCAGCTTCTTCTTGTTCACCTCGAAACGCTTCTTGACCTGATCCAGAGACGAGCGCTCGACCCTCATTGACATGCCCAGATTCCTCTGGTCTGCTCGCACAAACAGCGACATGCAAAGACAATATATTTATGTCCAACTTTGCTTTAAATAACTGTATATGTTGTCAGTATTTAGTTCTTTTTTCCAGCAGTAACAGGAAGCCTGTTTATTACACGTCATGAGGAATCTGAGAGGACTCGTTTATCTGAATTTGTACTTGGTTCTACTCCACAATATGACTTTTACAACAAGAGACTTCTCATTTTTGAGAGAAAAACAAGTAAATATTCATAAGAACTACAAAGACAGAGATGACAACCACTTTGTAGATTTAGCCAAACCCAGTTTAAACGATGCTTAAACTGCATCACAAAATTAAAACCTGTTTTGACGCTCTAACATCTGAGTTTGTTTCTCTGTCAAAACAAAAGCACCAAAGCTGCGGTGGATGTTTTGCGGTTCGAACGCAAATTTTGAAGTGCTATACTGAACTCACGTTTCTTGCCGTTGATGTGATCCAAGAAGTTGATGGAATCTTTCACCACGCAGTCACAGACGTTACAGTAATAACTGCAAGAGAAGCAGAAGAAGTCAGAGGAAGACTAGGAGTGATAAAAGCTTCATGTTTCAATTTCTGTTTGAATAAACATTCAGACAGCAGACAGTAAGTCCAGCAGCTTGATTCCTGCACCATGTAAGGTTCAATCAAGTTTTCTGTTCCATCTGTTCTCTGGTGGCAAGTTTCATATTCTGAAACATCAGTATGATGCCACAGATCTCAAACAATACAACCACAGAAAAATCATTTCTAAATAAAGAAATAAGGAAATAAACACTGTTGGGGTATGAGGAGGAGGAGATAAGCAGGGAAAGGCAGACGGTGTTTGCAGGTTTCATGATTAAACTTCCTACCCGCCCATCTCCGCCTGAGGAGTGGTCTTGGTGATGACGATGGTCTTGCCCAGTTTGGACTCCAGATCCACCTTGTAGTCTCGGTGACGCAGGAGATCCCGCTTGACCGGTGGAGCCGTTTTCCCTGAGAGAGGCAATTTGAAACAGATAAATGGCGATGAAGGAATTAAATGTGAATTTGAAATAATAAATGAGTAATTTCTCAAACTACAAACTGTGTCTGGTTACACAAGGACTGGAGGTACATTTAGGTTTATTTTGTCTTAATTTTGAAAAAGACAAACATCTGAGGAAATATGACAATAAATGAAGTAAAGAGTTAAAGGCAGAAAGTAAATAAAATTATTTCCTGGCAGTTTGTTGTCCTCTAGATCTCCAAATCCAGCGGAAAATAAATTAACTTTTGTGAACCGCGTTGACGTGTATGAATGACACATCTGTGTTTGATCTCCTCACCATCTCTCCTCTCTCGGTCTCTCTCCTCTGCCAGTCGTTTCTGAGCGAGGTTTTCGTACTCATCTTTGTCCCACTTCCGACGGAAGTCGTTCTTACTAGACTGGAAGAGAAGATGAAGGCGCCTCAGTGAAACACGCAAATAAGAAAAAAGCAACAACTTTTCAACATCAAAACTTCCTGACAGTTCATCTGTAACTACTGTCAAACCTCAGAATGATTCATGCGGAGTCTTTAATACTGATTATTTGCTGATAGAGGCTGATCAGATACTTGCTTTCACCTAAATATTGGTTTAATCTGACACTGAAACAACTGTATTGAAGATCCTGATTCTAAATATGAAGCTGATTGGTTGAATTTACGACGTAGTTTGGATGAACGTTTAACAGGAAGGAATTACCACAGCCCACTGTGATGTATAAATGCGTAGTTACTGTGTGTTGCTAAATTTTAGCTCATTTTATTATTTATTTTACAGCAACCAGTATTGCCATGATACCAAAATGTTGACTTGATACCTGCCGAAATAAATCAAAACAAATATTGATCCACAGCAAAAATTAAAACATCAAGAAAAGTAGTGGAATAACAGATGAGAGGACATGAAACGTACAAATCCTTTTTTTAAAAAAAATTAATTTAAAAGAAAAACCTAAATGTGAGTCAAACACTTTGATTTTTGCATGCATTCAAGTTGCTTAAACATCGTGTGGTTGACTTCAAATCCAGGGAACCTTTTATCATAGGACCAGTCTGTTCCTTCCAGGCTTTTTGAGCTCCAACCAAATCAGATTAACACAATAATAAAAACATTAATTTGAACTTTTGATCAGTCACAGCTATGTACGCCCTAATATTCAAGCAGGTACCGCAACCATGTGCAAATACAAACATATTTTGCAAACACGTTTTCCAATTAACATACTTTCGACCACGAGTTTTACACCTACTTTTTTAAAAAGAGGGGATAAAACAAATCTAAGCGATACCATGTAAGGGCTTTATCGTGCACTTTGTTTGAAAAAAAAAAAAGAAGAAAGAAAGCAATACAGCAATCTAATGTCCTCTTTTTATTATGTAAATGATCTGACAGTCTGCCTTATTTTTGCAACATCACTTACTCAGTACACCTCTTTTGCAGAGGTCTGTACTGTATGGATTATGTAGTACTAGAAATAAGCAGTGAGAACATGTTTCTGCTATGTTTAGCCTTATCAGCACTGACTGAGTATAACTGATGTTGTTGATCTGCAAACCCGTGAACACCTGACTTTAGGGAGTTACTGAGATCTGCTAAAGTTAATCATGCCAGTGTGAACGCTGTGTTTGCATATAGAAATGCTTTCCACATGGGTAAGTTGTTAAAAAGTTAAACAGCTATCATTGCTCTTCAAAGTCGATGGTGATGATAAAATAATCAAACAATTTAACGTCTATTTGAGGGTCTGATCTTCCACGTCCATTAACTTGTCACTTATCTATGTTTTAGTTTTAGTTTAAGTTTTTTTTTTGCCGTTGTATCGTTTCAGCATCGATATATGTACACTGGCGCTTTACAGAAGTCACAAGTTTGACATCCCACTAGTTCCACTCTCTGTCGGTGTGATTAATACACCGCTTTTGTTTAGTTATCATCAGATCTCTAACTATTGCTGATGCTCGCAAAGCTCAGGCTAACAACTAACAAAGAGGCCAACACGCAGCATTATCCTGTTTCAGCGCTGTAGCAGATTGACACAAACCAACAGATAGGAGTTTTACAAAACAACCAAAGACTAACAAAACACCGCTACATGTGAATTAAAAGCAAGTATGTTCACATTGTTGTCAGTTAGCAGGCTAGCTATCATTAGCTGCTAGCTGGTGCGCCTGATCTCAGTCACAGAAACGGCTTTTCAAACACCGTAAAATGCTTCAGACGGAGCCGTAAGCGGCACCGTTCAACAGATACACCGGGACAGAAATTGAAGTCACGTATCACTAACGTTGTTTGCATTTTTAACAACAAATAACATGGTCCGATCCTCAACTTACCCCGCTGCCTGACGCCATCTTGTTTACTTGGTTAGCGGAAACAGCGCCGCTCTTCTTCTTCTTCTTCTTCAACTTCTTCTTCTTCTTCTTCGTCTTCTTCTGGCGGTTAGCAAACAAGTTGATACTTTACCGTCACCAGCTGGTGAAATGTGGATCAGACTTTTTTTTGTATTTACAACATTTGTTTTTAAAAAATCCTCTCGATCAAAATAATTTGTCTAATATACTGAAATGTAATTTGATTAAACTCAGTTGTTAGGTGGTTGTTGTTTTGCCTCATATTTTGACTTTTTTCTTTCTTCAGTACTTCCCTCTGAAGTGTGTTGCAGTAGAAAATGATCTGAAGTACAAACAATCTGCACTTAACTCACTTAAGAAAAAGTATTTTCAGTACGCTGGAGCTGTTATTTTTCATATTTCTTTAAAACATATTCTTATTGCACTTTGTGCCTCTTGCTACCTGGCTAACTATCTGACTTTGTGTTAGTCTAGTAAGGAACACATTAGCTTGACGTTCTACTCGCAACCTCGCTAACTAGTTGAGTTTGTGTTACGCTAATAATGTTAGACCATATTAGCTTGTCTTGCTGGTAGCTACCTGGGTAACTGGTTGAGTGTGTGTTACACTAATAACATTATGCCATATTAGCCTGTTGTGCCACTGGCAACTTAGCTAACTAGCTGAGTTTGCACTAATAAAGTTATACCATATCAGCTTGTGTTTGACAAGCTGATATGGTATAGCAGCCTGGTTAACTAGTTAATTTAGTGTTTGAGGTAATAATTTTATGACACATTAGCTTGCTGTACCACTAGCTACCCAGCTCACTAGCAGAGTTTATGTTAATACCACTATACCAAATTAGCTCATTGTACCACTACTAGCAAACTAACTAGCTGACTTTATGTTAGGCTA